GAGGCTGGGGTAGGGTTGCTCACGGCTCAGCTTAGAGAACAGCACTTGGTGACGACAGCATCTCAGGTGTCCAGGCTAGGAAAGTTTCCTGACCCAGTATTCTCCCTTCTCTTCACAAACCCTTAGCCCAATGGCAATCACAGATGACTGACTGTGACTGGGGGAGGAAATTGTGCTGCAATCTCCTTTCCTTCGGACCTGGTACCCTTGGCAGAACTGAGACCTCCTGAGGACATGTAGGCCTGCCTTTTGTACTTGCCTGTTCATTGATTGAGCCAGACAGGGCTACGGATACATCGATGAATGAGCCCTGCTGTCCCTTTAATAAGCACCCTTAGCTCTGAGCTGATTTTTGCAGCCAAAATGACTCCCCTCAGGTCCTACTGAAATGTCTCAACAACCTGTGGTTCTCAGAGAGCAGAAAGAATTGCCAAGGCACACGTTGCTCAGGAGGGCTAACTTTGGGGCTGTAGACGGGCTGATTCAGAGACTTTATTTAAGGCTGAGGCTTGAAATCGGGATGGAGATTAGGATGGGAGTAGAATTGTGGCTAACATTGGGCCTGAGATAAGAGCTTGAGGCAGAATCTAGAGCCAAATGTGGTGCCAAATTCATGGCTGGAGTTGGGGCTGCCCAACCCAGTCTAGAGGTGTGTGGAGAGATAGCCTGTATCAATCCTTGATCTCTACCCCAATATCTCTCACCATTTAGACCCCACCTAAAACCCCAAGTCCTGCCTCTGCCTCCACCTGCCTTCTCCAACCTCCTTGTTTTCTCATTCCCACCCGAGTCCTCAATCTGGTTTCCTGCAGCAGGAAAAAGAAGGTGGGCGAGAGTCAATACAGATGACCAAGGCCTCATGTCTGCGACCCGGGATTCTATAGCCTAGACCTCCCATTCCCAGACTTCACACAGTAAATTACGAGGAGAATTAATTGGGGTTGGACATAGATGGCAGTGGTTATATGGTGGACCTGACTCTGCTCCAGAATGTGTCTCCTCCCTTTCTGCTTCTTTTGAATTCTCCCCACCCCCCCACTTCCTCATTTTTACCATTTGGAAGAGGGGAGTTTTCCCAATGGGGTCCGCTGGTACTTCTCCTCTGCCCCACACCCCCTTTCACTTCCTGCATCCGAATTCCCCAGTATTGCTGGTGTTGCCCTTATTGTAACCCCGGGACCAGAGGAGCCTTTTTCTCCGCTCTTGCTCAGTTATGACTCAAGTTTCAGGCATCTGAGTTTCCTCTGGGGCCTGAATATTTGTTCATTTATTTTTATTTATTTTTATTTTTAATATATATTTTATTGATTTTTTTAACAAAGAGAAAGGGAGAGAGATAGCCAGAAACGTCGATGAGAGAGAAACATAGACCAGCTGTCTCTTGCACACCCCCTACCAGGGATGTACCCACAACCCAGGTACATGCCCTTGACCAGAATCAAACCCGGGACCCCTCAGTCCGCAGACTGACGCTCTACCACTAAACCAAACTGGTTTCGGCTATTTGCTCATTAAAAAATAAATAAATAAATAAATAAATAAATAAATATATATATATATATTTTTTTTTACAGAGAGGGAGAGGGATAGAGAGTTAGAAACATTGATGCGAGAGAAACATTGATCAGCTTCCTCTTGCACACCCCCTACTGGGGATGTGCCCGCAACCAAGGTACATGCTCCCCCCCCCCCCCCCCCCGCCCCCTCCACTGGAAGCGAACCTGAGACCTTTCAGTCCACAGGCCGATGCTCTATCCACTGAGCCAAACCGGTTTTGGCTATTTGCTCATTTTTTATTTATTTATTTATTTTTTTTATGTCCCAGTGTATTTGAAAAGAATGCCTGTTCTGTAGGTAATGAACACAGTGTATTAAATACGGCAATTGGATCATAATAGTACAACCTGGAGCTCAACACATCTGTTTCCTTGGTGATTTTTTTTTTTTTTTTGTCAGTTCAACCTGACATACATTCATTAGAGAGATGTATTGTAATCGCCTACTATAAATATAGATTTGTCTATTTGTTCTAGTACTTCCAGATCCAGGCAAGAGAGGATCTAACCCAAGAGAAAGGACCAGGAATTTCTCAGGATGAGTAGGAGGTTCCAGGCTTAGAGCTAGCCTCTCTGGCGAGGTCTGAGGACACAGGACTGGCTGTGGGGCAGAGGGGTTGGGGGGAGGTAAGACATGGATTGACAGCGAGCCTAAGGGAGCTTGCACTCAAGGGCCTCTCTTGGGCCCCTTCAAGGTCCTCAAGGGCCCAAGTGGTGTCATCACATAATCATAAGTTTTTGTAAATGATGAAAACAAAAGTTATTTTGACCACAATCGGTTCAGATGACCTCTGCCACTTTCCACTCCAACTCCCCCTTCTTCACACGCTCCTCTGTGTCCGGCGGCTTTTGTTCACCTGAGTAAGAAGCTGGCTTGAGTGAGAAGGTTCCTATGTGGTCTGCAGGCACATCGTGTATTCTTAGGGTTGTCCCGCCAGCTCAGGAATGACTTTCAGGGGACCTTTTATCACCCACGGTGCAGATTTCCTTTGGGGTGACATGAAGGTGGCACATGCTCATGTCCTGAAGGACCTGACAGCAGTGACATAGAAGAATCCTCTGTGGACACTCACCTCCCAACACTTGTCACATGTAACCAATGAGCCTGCAGCCAAAAACTACAGGGAAAACAGAGTTTAGAGGCGTGTTGGGAGATTATTTGAAATATGATGTCATTTTTGGGGATGCTTATGGCAGTTTCAGCTTTTTAAATTTGTGAGTTTTTAACTTAAGTAAATATTAAATTTTATGCTTAATTTTTTATTCCTTTTTAAGGACGGCTCCCCAAAACTGTGCACTTCAAACTTCATGAAATTTCCATTCACCCCTGTGACTCTAGGAAAAAGGTGCAACTGAAATTCCAATTCTGTGACTAATTTGCATTAGTAGATGATTATATTGCCAGGCTTTTTACAGGTGAGGAAGACTTCGCAATAGATTCAAAGAATATGGAGCAGCCCTGACTGGTTTGGCTCAGTGGATAGAGCATCGGCCTTAGAACTGAAAGGACCCAGGTTCGATTTTGGTCAAGGGCATATACCTTGGTTGTGGGCACATCCCCGGTAGGGGGTGTGCAGGAGGCAGCTGATGGATGTTTCTCTCTCATTGATGTTTCTGATTCTCTATCCTCCCTTCCTCTCTGCAAAAACTCAATAAAACGTATTTTAAAAAGAATATGGAGTATATTCTTAAGTAAAATAATTATGAACTTCAGAAGAAACAAAAGTTGTGCAAGAAAGGAAATGTGATCAGATGATCCTACTTGGGTCAGCATTTACCACTGTTGACGCAACCATAGCTGATACACATTCTGAAGTATGATTTACATAGAAATTGTTGTAGACTCAGTTGGAAGATTGTACCTCATCTACAGGGTAGAACTAAATAATGTCAACAATTGGTAAAGATATACCCATTTATGTGTGCATTATCTAGAAATTCAGATGTCAATCCTGGAAGAAACAGCTAGTAAACAGAGAGCGGTTTCTTTAAAGAGCAGGAGTGGCTTTTCCTGGGCTCACAAGACTTGAAGTTGCATGCATTATTACTTCCATCGTTTATTTTACCTCATGTCAGTCATGTTCATTTAGAAGGGGAAATCCCAGAAAATTTTGCAACTGATCATCAGGAAGTCTTTACCTATCACAGCCTTAGAAGCAAAATTTGCTTGAAATATTATGTGTGAAAATATACCAAAATCCCAACTCCTTATATGCCACAGGGAATGATTAACTGACATAGGGCACATCCGTATTTTGGAATTCTCCACCCTTGCTGAGTTCCACGGGAATAGCAAGGATTGGATCAAAGCCCACAGGCACGGGGAAGTGGGAAAAGCCCTGCGCAGTGCAGTGCGGTATTGCAAATGTGCACATACGCAGGCCACACCCAAAAGGAAACCTCTTATGTCCACAGGGTGCCGGGAAGCAGGGTCAGTCCCATGTGGGTGTGTCTGGGAGGGCGCTTTCCAGGAGAGGAGCATTTGAATTGGGAAAGCAGAGTGCTCTCCCCAAGGGGGTGGCTTCATCCCACCAGCTGAAGCCCTGCACGAACCAGAAGGCCGAGCCCCCGCCAGTCCCAGAGAGTCCTTCCTGCCTGACCCCTCCACACGGGGACACTGGCCTCTTCCTGCCTTTGGACTCAGGGAAACATCCCCGCCCCCCCCCCCCCCCCCCCCCCCCCCCGGGTGTGTGGCCTGCTGCCTGGGTCACTCCGCCACCCATGGGCTCCCTGGGCCTCTGGCTGCCTGCTCCCCACAGGACCTGGGTCTTGTCAGCCTCCGTAATCACAGGAGCCAATTCCCTGTAATAAACCCGTGTGTGTGTGTGAGTGTGTGTGTGTGTGTGTGTGTGTGTGTTTAAAACATTTTTCACAAAGTGTATATAGTACTTTTGTAATAAGAATAAGAAAAAAATTCGTTGCTTAAGGCCCTTCTAAGACTGGCTTTAGGATGGTCTCGGAGGATGAAGCTGCCCACTGCGGACATGGCGGGGACACCTGAGTTGGACGCCGTCTACATCTGTCTGGGTCGGAAAGAGGCCGCCGCGCTGAGCACAGCAGGAAAGTGTTGCCCCAACGCCCCCCTCTCAGCAAACGTTCTCCAGCGCCTTGCGGCCACACCACAGCTCCCCGGCTGAGGGAAGTGGGGGGCCCTGAAGCCTCTTCTGGGGGAGACCCCAGTGCGGGCAAGTGCTTCCTCCAGGAGCCCCTCAGGCTGTGGGCAGCCCCTCCGGCCGGCCCGCCAGCTCCTCCCCGCACCCCCAGCCCCAGGCCTTCCTTCCACTGAATGCCACTGCTCCAGGCTCTCCCCTCCCCTCCCTGATCCGGGTCCCTCAGGATGGGGACCCGGGAGCCCCTGTCTGGGACTAAACTTTCTCCCAGACGCTCTGCGCTCCCCCTTCTTTGCACCCTGCACGTCCCAGTTCCCAATAACCAGTCCACACGGAGTGTCAGCATTGGTTTCTCTTTTCCTGCTCCACCGAGGAGGCCGGAGGTGACAACCCTCCCAGTGAGCGGCAGAAGGAGGCGGGATCTGTGCCCCCCGGGGTCTGAGATTCTTAAACCCCTTTGTTCTGTCTTCCCTCAACGCCTCCCAACTCTTCTTCCTTCATTCCAAATCCCCACAGAGAAGCTGGGAGCTGGGGAGGGGAGGGGTGCGGGTGGAGACTGCTGGGGTTAGGGCTCCTGGCCGGGGATTTTCAGCTTCAGCTCGCAGGCCCACTGCTGCACCCGCTGGCAGTCATCGTCGTTCCAGCGCCCGTCCTCCCGGACCTCGGCGCAGTCTTCATCCGCGTCATCTTCGTTCCCCTTCCAGTTGTTGGGCTGCCCGGCACCCCAGTTCCTAGGAATGCAGGACAGAGCTCAGGCTCTGACCACCCCAGCCCAGCACCCCTCGCCCCACCTCAGGAAAGCAGAGCCTTGGAGGGTTCAGGGAGCAGAGGCTGCAGCCTGGGAGGCTGGAGGGGTGAGGTCTGGGGAATGGGGTCGCTCGGGTGGGTGGGGCGGGGACGAGGCACTTACTTGTAGCTGTTCCGATAGTCTGTGCCGTCCACCCACTTCCAGGAGCCGCCACCCTCAACGAGACCTATCCAGGTGTGAAATGGGGCCGAGTGCTGTGCGATGAAGTTCTGCAAAACAGGAGGAATGGAGAGTCTAGTCCTTGTCTCCGTGCAGGCATTAGCTGTGGGCCTCAGCCTGCCCAGCCTGCTCTGCCCCAAGGTGAAGCACCAGCTCCCAGCAAAACTAGGGCCTCGTTTTTCCTTGGTAGCCTTCGCTATTGTTCGAAGATAATATACTGGGCTAAAGCCCATGCTATGTGCTCCATGGGTTTTATTTTATTTAGCCCTCAGAAGCTCTCTAAAGCTTCTGACCTGAGGACCTCGCGGGGGCTGGTAGAGCCCCAAGAGTCAGTGCAGTGCTGTTTGTGACGCTGCCCCCACCCCACCCCCACTTCATTCTCAACGCCCGGCTGCTGCCTGGACTCCAGTCCTCTCCTTGTCTTCTGCCCACAACCTCAAACCCGGGATCCTGACTCTGGCCCCTGTGCCTGCTGCCCCCAGGGAGCCGTTGGTGTCACCTGCCCCTCAGGGCTCCTGCCCTGCTCCTGCCTCTGTGTAGCTGTCCTCTCCAGAGGATCACTGGGTCCTGGGGCTTCCATTTGGACCCACTGCCCGGAGCCCCAGGATGACTTAGCTACAAGGGGACTGGCGGTCGGTGCTGAAAATTGGAGGCTGCCCTGGTACGAGGGAGAGTGTGGAGAAAGCAGATGGATGGTGACCAACATCTACACCCGTCAGTCAGTTCCCTTTGGCAGTGTGTCTAGGGTCTCCAACGGCAGTTGGGGTGAAATTCCTAATTCTACTCTCACCTGGAGACACAGCTAAGATGACAGCCAGTCACCTCCTCAGAGGGCAGACACGGGAGCATCCAGGAATCCTAGAATCCTGCACATTGGATAATGTCCTGTGCATGATGGTGTATCCTGAGAGTCTGTTCCCAAATTGGGAGGAGTCAGCACAGGTGGAGGGAAAGTGCCTGGAGACAAGATCTTCTAGGTGCTGCTGCTGCCTGCTGTCCCATCAGGACCAGCAGCTGAATAACGGGACTAAATCATCAAAACCCAGGCCTCCGTGTCAAAGAGTGATGGGAAGAATCAAATAGTGCCAGGTGACCAGAGAAGACAGCCCAGGAGAATTCACGGTAAATCACAGGCAAGAAAGAACGGTGCCCGTTCATGAAAGTGGCAGAGGTGCCAATGATCATGGAACTTACGCAAGAATAAAGAGGAGAAAGAGGAAGAAGAGGAGGAGGAAAAAAGAACTGTGATATTAAAAAGAGAGGTGAAAAATATACTTTGAATGAAAGGCATGTATTTTTAAAAATGTATTTCTTTACTGACTTCAGAGAGGAAGGGAGAAGGAGAGAGAGATAGAAACATCAATGATGAGAGAGAATCATTTGATTCGGCTGCCTCCTGCACACTCCCTACTGGGGATGGAGCCCGCAACCCAGGCATGTGCTCTTGGCTGGAATCAAACCTGAGACCCTTCAGCCCGCAGGCTGACGCTCTATCCACTGAGCCAAGCCGGCTACGGCAAAAGGCATATTTTAGAACAGAGAGTGATGTTGGAGAACAACTTTTTTAACGGCCTCATAAAAATTAAAGGAGACGAATGCCATAAAATATCAAGGAGGATATTTAAAAAGAAAGACCTCACAATATAAGAAGTAAAGAGAAAATTTTAGATATATAAAACAACCCAGGAACTCAGCAGGGAACCAAGACCCAGACAGGAAAGACGGGCCTGCGAAAAGGACCCAGAATGCACAGGGAAAGAGCAAGATGGAAAGAATGGCAGCAAGATGGTGGCTGTGGAGGCAGACAGTGGGCATGCTTGTGGGTGACGTGTCCCAGAGAAAAAGAGAACCAGTGGACAAGAAAAAAAATGTCCACATACATGACTCCAGAAAGTCTTCTCAAAAGTTAGAAAACCGCCGAAACCGGTTTGGCTCAGTGGTAGAGCGTCGGTCTGTGGACTGAAAGGTCCCAGGTTCGATTCCGGTCAAGGGCATGTACATTGGTTTCGGGCACATCCCCAGTAGGGGGTGTGCAAGAGGCAGCTGGTTGATGTTTCTCTCTCATCGAAGTTTCTAGCTCTCTATCTCTCTCCCTTCTTCTCTGTAAAAAATCAATAAAATATATTAAAAAAAAAAAAAAAGTTAGAAAACCCAAGTTTACACATTAAAAGGATTCTCCTGGCTTTAGAGCAAATGTATAGCATGAGCAACCAAGTTATATATCTGGATGAGATTTACGAAATTAAAAGATAGAAAACAGCCCAACTCTTCAGGCAAAAACACTTAAGGAATCGAGGAGAGAAAAGAATGAGCCTTATAAATGTCCAAGTTAACATTCACTGTTCTCAACACAGAAAAGAAATGATAATTATGTGACAAGAGAAAGGGGATAGCTAACTCTACTGTAGTAATCATATCGCCATATGTAAATGTACCAAACCAATGTGTGTAACCTCTAATTTATCCAGTGTGATATGTCAGTTAAATCTCAATTTAAAAAAGGAAGAATGGGGTGTGTGAATAAATGTGCCGGTTTCCTCATCTTTCATATGGAAAGTTACATAAACTCCTTGTTTTTTTTGAAGCCAATAATTTTCAGCCCATCACTGGCAGTTATAAAATGAATCATTCATATAACTCAGAATAAGCTACATCTAGTTCAAAATACCACAGGGAAAGAAGACAAAAAGAACACAACTCACACTACAAATGTAAACAGAAAAAAAAGACAGATTAAGCATAGTTATTAGAAATAAAGGAGATGCACACCTGTTAAAAGACTCATTCAATTAAAAACAAACAAACAAACAAAAAACTTAAGCACAACCTATAGGAAAAATACCTTAAAGTTGGCTGCACAGAGGCACCAGTTGGGGTAACTTTTAAAAATCGTAATGCTCTGCCCTAACCAGTTTGGCTCAGTGGATAGAGTGTCGGCCTGTGGACTGAAAGGTCCCAGGTTCGATTCTGGCCAAGAGCATGTGCCTTGGTTGTGGGCACATCCCCAGTAGGAGGTATGCAGGAGGCAGTTGATCGATGTTTCTCTCTCATTGATGTTTCTAACTCTCTATCCCTCTCCCTTCCTCTCTGTAAAAAAGCAACAAAATAAGGGGGGGGGGGCTAATGTTAAAATATGTACACAGATAATAATTTAATTAAAAAATGTAAAAAAAAAAAAAAAAGCAACAAAATATATATTTTTAAAAATAAATTGTAATGCTCCAGAGGAGCCCAGGGTTAATGAAATCAGGATCTTTAAACTCGGCAAGTATAAAGGCGTGTAATCCAGAGCCAAGGCTGCGAAGCCTTAATCCAAAACAGATTCACAGGTTGAAAACGGGAAGATGGGCTGAGTTACATCCAGCCAATGCGAGGGAACAGAAATCAAGGTCCGTTCTATTTGCGTCGCATGAAGATGAATTTAAGGCAAGAGCATTAGAGCAGACACTGACATTCACTCCGAATGGCGAAGGGACAGGTCCACCTTGAAGTTGTATCATCAAGAACGTGGGCGCCAGCTCACCGAGCTCTGACGTCTTGGGTTGGCCCACGTGAAACCGACATTTGTGTCGGTCCAAATGGATTGAAACAGGCGATTTCCATCTGGTTGGAAAAGCCGAATAGGCTTGTGATTATTCCGGCAGCAGGTGGCAGTGAAAACACAGGCGGAGGAGGCAGAGTGGCTCTGAAGCCTGGCTCCTCCTGACTTGCTAGCTGCCTGGCGAGTCCCTTAGCCTCCCTGTTCCTCAGGTCCCTCCTTTCTCCCTTCCTCACACTGGGGATGGTCCGAGGACCTGCCTTGTAGGGTTGGGAGTGAATGTATATGAACGTGCCTGTCACATAGTAAGGTCTCAGTAAATGTCACCATGAGTAGCCTGTGTGTGTGTGTGTGTGTGTGTGTGTGTGTGTGTGTGTGTGTTAAAGCCCCACCTATTCTAAGAGGCTGGCTCTTCCCTGTGGACGTTGGTGTTTGGGGTTGTGGTGTGGAGGTGGCAGTGGGCAGGTGAGACCTGGACAGTTTTGGAGGGACCCAGGAACCCCATGTCCCTGGGAATCCCTCCCACTCTGCTCCTCTCACCCAGCTGGCCACCACAGCAAAAGGGGCTCTCAGTGTCACCCCCCCCCCCCCCCCCCCCCGCCCCAAGCTCTGCACCCAGTCCTGCCTCTACTAAGTTCATCTTGTCTTGCGTTCTGTCTCCTAACCTGCTCCTCACCCTGCTCCCCTGGCTCCTGCCCCTCTGCCCGAGCTCCCGGCTGTAACCCCGGCTCTTAGCTCAGTGGCTGCTCCACTATGACCCGCCCAGCATCCTGCCAGCCTGCGGCTTCTGGGCTCTTCCCCGGGTTAAAAAATAATAAAGCGGCGGACCCAGCTGCCCAGGGTTTGAATCACAGGTGTCACCTGCTCCTCTCTGGAGTTGATGACCACCAGGTGGGCGTTCTGCAGCTGGCAGGACTTCTCAGCCTCTGACCAGGTCGATCGAGCGCGGGAAAACCAGTAGCAGCTGCCGTCATGCTCCAGCCAGGCAACGGGGCAGCAGGCATCTTGGGAGTCTGAGGTGGGAGTGGGGAGGTTCTGAGATGCTGCCCAGAGACACATGGGCAGGATATGGGGCCAGGCGCTGCCCCACACACCACTCACCATTGCTCTGGAGCGCAGCCACCTGACAGTGCAGGGTGTGCAGGTCTTTGACCAGCTGCTGGACTCTCAGGAGCATTTCAGAATAACCTAGGACACACAGAGGGCAGTGGGGACAATGCAGGGGGCCAGCTGAGGGCCCCCCATGCCCTCCCACCACATCAGGCCCAGGGGCAGGGAGAAGGGGCCTGACCTGCTTGGAGTTCCTTCTGCTCCTTCTCCAGCTTGCTCTCCAGAGAAAACACCTTGTCATTCAAGCTGCGGGCTGGAGGGGAGGGCACTCAGCACCCTGGCTGCTCCCACCCCACCTCTGTCCAGAGAGCCCAGCCCCCACCCTTGCACACTCACTCCTGGAGGAGCCTCTCACCTGCCTGCAGTTCCTGCTCCTGGTTTTCCACCACAGCTTTCAGAGATGTTATTGTTGCTTGCAAACTGCAGCCTGGAGGACATGGGGGCTCAGTGCTCAGGATTCAGTTTCCCTCTCCCCCACCATGACCCCTCCCATCCAGAGCCCCTTCCAGCCAGGCTCACCCTGGGAGTGCAGTGCCTGGACCTGAGCCTCCGTGTTGGAAGTGAAGTTGCTGAAAGTTGCTCTCAGGGTCTCCAGGTCCCTCCGCATATTGGCACCTGGTCAGACAGGTGGGACCATGAGTGCTAAGCTGGGCCAGTCCTCTCTGTGCTGGCACTGTGCAGGGCACTGGAGAAACATTGGATCATTGGGTCCTCACAGCCACCTGGCTTGAAGGGACAGGCTCTGTTGTTATCCAAGCTTGCAGAGGAGGACACTCAGGCACTTGGACTACATTACTCATGAGTAAGTAACAGAGCCAGCAGCTGTCTTTACCCACCATGATCATCATCAGTGCCTGGATTACTGTACCCACTATCGCCCCCATTCCTGCCCGTCCCATGACTCTCACCTTTGGATCCAATTATCCAGATATCCACCAGCAGGAAGAGGCTGAAGCCCAGGAAGAGCAGGAGGAGGCAGGGTCCAAAGCAGAGACGCTTGAGGAGGGCTTGGGGAGGACACGGTCCTGCAAGGGGAGAGGACAACAGGAGCTGGAGGTCTAGGACAGGAGAGACACAGAGAGGAGGAGAGGGCCCGGGGGCTATGCCAGGGATGGAGGTGGGTGCAAGTAAAGCTGGGGGAGGCTTGTGGTTCAGGGGATTCCCAGGCCTCTGACCCCTCCTGAATCAGTATAAGTCCTCAGTCACATGGGCCCCCACCCCTACAACAACACATGATGGCAGCATGTGGGAGAGGGGGCAGGAGGACACAGAGTGAGTTGGGGCAACCAGGCCCTCAGCAGACTCACACTTGTCTGTATTGTCAGGTTAGTGCATGCTTTCCTTTCCAAATACGACTGTTCATTCTCCCCCAGTGCAAACACTCATGCCTTCCCAGAGAGTAGTGGCCATCAGGCTGCTGTATTCCTCTCTGACCCTGTCTTTCTGGGGACCTTGAATCCTCTTCATACTGGAGCCCCCAGGGTATGGGGTTCTGACCCCCTCAGAAGGGGGGACCCCAGCAGTGCACACGGTAGAGGTGCAGATATGCTGCGACTGCAGAAATCCTTATAAGCCCATTGAGAGGGTATTATAAGAGAAACCCTTTCTCCTTTCTTCTTACCATTGTTAATCCCCTGGCTTCTCTCCTCACTCTCAAAGGACCGGAGGTTTTTATACTTCATTGACATCCTTGGACCAACGCTGAGGCTGCCCGAGCTGAAATGGAGGCAGGGCCAGTGACCAGCTAGGCTGGAGACAGGAGACAGGGAAGGCTGGGACTAGGTTGGAGCTGAGGTAAGAGAAGAAGTTCAGGCTGAGGATGAACCAGGGGTTAGGGATATGAATGGGAATGAGCCCGGGTTTGCAGCAGAGGTTGGAAGTGAGGTCAGGCTTGGTCTTTGGGCTGGGGATGACTTGAATGTGAGATTGAAGGAAAAGGCAAAGTTGGAACTAGAGGTATTACTAGGCCTGGGTCTGACATTGGGGATGCAGTTAAGGTTGCATCTCCTCCTAGGACCCGGGTCAGTACTCCTGTGGATGCCATGGGTGGTGCAGGGCCTAAGCTCGGCCCTGAAGTTGGAAATAGAAGAATTGAAGCTCAACTTGGGGTTGGGGCTGATGTTAAGACTGTGGTTGGGGGTTAAAGGAGGAATTGGTGTTTGTAATGGGGTGAGGGTTGGAGCCAGGCTGGGGCTGAAGGTGGCGCTGGAAATGGGCTGCAGATGGAGCTCAGTGTGAGTGGAGCTCAGTGGAGCTCAGTCTGTGACCGAGGTTTGGCAGCCAGCGTTCAATCCGAACCCAGCTGAGTGAATAGAGTCTGAAGTCTACATAAGGTCATTGAGTCTCCAAGATGCCCTTTTTTATCTCTTCCTATTCAGTCCCCCTTCAGACCCACAGCCCCCTCTCCCTGCTTTCTCTAACTCCCTCCCTGTCCCCTTGGTCTCACCTGCATCCCCAACCCAGTTACCTGTGCAAAGTCTGGAGGCTGTGATTCTTGGGTTTGCTGCACAGCAATGAGTTGAGTTAGGTAAAACAAAATCCTGGAGAGGGGGGTGGAGGCGCCTGAGGAGGAGTCAGGTCAGCGGCTGGAGTCCTGCTGGCCTCTGAGTCTGAAAGCCCAGGAGTCTGTCACCTGGGACCTCCTGTTTCCTCCGCTTTGTGCAGTAAGCAATAATCGGATCACAAGCTGAGACTGCGTGTTTGGGGTGTTAGATACCGAGAGCCAGCTTTGTTGTCCTCCTCCAGGATGTGTCTCCTCCCTTTCCGCTTCTTTTCAGCTTTTCTGACTTCTTCATTTTTGGTGTTTGGGAGAGGAGTCCTCTGACACCCTCCCTTCGCTTCCTGCATCTGATTTCCTGGAGTTGTTGGTGTCTCCGTCATGGCATACCCAGGCCAGCCTTGTTCAGTAGTGGCCCAAGTTGCTGGTGTCTGACCTTTCTCCGGGATCTTAGCTACCAAGCTTCCCCAGCTCTTGCCTAGCTCTCTTCCCTCCACTCAATTGGAGGGAAGAAAGTGAAGAAGAGCAGGATTCCTGGCCAGATTGGGGGCGGAGGAGCTGAGGAAAGGGACAAACTTTGTTGATTATCAAATTTCTGATGGGGATTGTGCCAGACACTTGCTGAAAATTCACCATTGAGTTCCTACCAGAATCATGGGAGGCACGCTGGGTGATTAGTATTATTGTAAAAGTAAGGTTGACCTTGTGGGTCCCTGACAAGGTCTCAGGGATCTAAAGGAGTTCATGGTCCACAGACTGAGAGCCTTGGTATAAAATAAGTAATATTTCATAATGACCTTTTATTCAGCCATATTGACAAGTTATTTTTGTTAACTCTAGAAGTTTTTTTTTTTTTTTAAATACCAGCTTCTTGCCAAAACTGGTTTGGCTCAGTGGATAGAGTGTTGGCCTGTGAACTGAAAGGTCCCAGGTTCTATTCTGGTCAAGGGCATGTACCTTGGTTGCGGTCACATCCCCAGTGGGGGGTGTGCAGGAGGCAGCTGATCGATGTCTCTCTCTCATTGATGTTTCTAACACTCTATCCTTTTTCTTCCTCTCTGTGAAAAAATCAATAAAATATATTTTAAAAGAAAGGGAAAATATTTACATAAAAAAATACCAGCTTCTTGCATCTTAAGGTGTCAATGATTAGAGAAAATTATGTCAAAATATTTTATTTTTATTTTCCTGCATGTATTATATTTTCTTACTAGTACATTATATTTTTAAAGTCAGTTGAAATGTATTTAACTCATTAATGAGGGGTTTACAGCATGGTCCCATGCTGGCTTTTCTATGTATTTGTTATCCAAAGTTATGCCAGACTCTCTTCTGAAAAAGGACTTTGGTTCAAAGAGGATCAAACTGCTCTTGGGCGATCATGTAAAGCTTTCCAAGTTACTTCTGGAAACCAAGACTCTTAGGTAAGGAGGAGATGAGATGCAGAAAAGAATGGGGTGACACTATACTAGTTAGGACAACTCTTAAGGTCCTATATTAGAAGGACTTTTGGATGATAAATTACAGGAGATCTCTGGATTTAAGTGATGTAACAAGACCATTCCTTAGACCACATGTGTCAAACACAAGGCCCGCGGGCCAAATCCGTCCCGCCAGGCCTTGCAATGTGGCCCACACCGCGCTGTCATCACTGCACTCCGCTGCGTTTCCATCACAATGACAGTTTATGACTGTTCAGTAAACCATTTGGCCCGCGATTTAGGCTGGATTTTAGATTTTGGCCCCTTCTCTGATTGAGTTCGACACCCCTACCTTAGACAATTCCTTAAGTGATGTAACAAGGCCCATTATGGGTTGAACTGTGTCCTCTTAAAAATATGTTGAAGTCCTTAACCCCAGGACCTGTGAATGTCACTTCTGGAAACAGGGTAGTTGCAGGTGCAATTAGTTGAAGTCATACTAGAGTAGGGTGGACCTTTACTCCAATATGACTGGCGTCCACAGGAGAGGAGACACAGACACACAAGGGAGAAAGCCATGTGACCAAGCACTGTAGCTGCAAACCAAAGGATGTCAAGGGTCGCCCCAACACCACTGGAAGCTAGGGAGATGCAAAAAGGGGCTCTGCCTTTCAGGTTTCAGAGGGAACAGAGCCTCGTGATTTCAGACTTCCAGCTTCCAGAAGTGTGAGACCACGCATTTCTGTTGCTTTTGTGGACTTCTGTTAAGGCAGCCCTGGAAAACCAATGTGTGACTCAAAGACAGGGAAGTGGCTGAAGTCCTGAGACAGACTGGAAAGGGTGAGCTGGACCCCTGAGGGTCACCATTGTAAGGTTTGAGGCGCAGGAAACGAGCCAGAGACCATCAAGACATATTAAAGGAAGGTGTATTCCCCAGTAATGAGTCCCGTAGAGAAATCAGAATTAAAGGAGAGGGGAGAGGAGAAAGGACCTACCGGGCTGACTCCACAGACGGGGATGGAGAGCAGCAGCACGTGGAGGACTGGGGGAGCCTTTTGAGGGGAGAAAAAGGAAAGGGTTTGACCCAGGGTAGAACAGGAAGGAGTGGGCTCCAGGGCACTTTGGCACAAGCTGATTGGTGGTCTTGGGGATGTCTCTGTGGCAGATGCCAGTAATGTCATAACTCTGCCCACCAGATGAGGGGAGGCAGGATCTCACAACCATCTGCTTTATTCCTCTTTCTCACTGAAGATCATCATTTTCTCCTCTTTGGCCAACACTCTACTCTCCATGGTCATTTCCACTTCCTTCCTATGCAGGTCTGGGCCACCAAGCAGTCCAGAGTGGTCTCTTCTCCCCTTACTACTGTTGCGGGGTCGAACCCTGGGTTCAAAATAAGACCACTGGAGGCTGATGATTAATTAAAAAAAACAGGCAAGAATTTACTGAAATATCTGGCCAGGACGGCCACAAGAGCACCACACGCAGGTGGTCTCCACACGACTGCCCCGTTTCAGGGGTAGGCAGTCCCTTTTAAAGGTTCAAACCACAGAAATTTTCCTTTGTTCTAAATTATAAATCCTAAATAATATGTTCTAAAGACTAGGGTCAGCCCACAGGGTCGTTGCTAGTCACATCCTGCTGGACATTGGAATGTGGCCCTGTCTTGCGATAGCCAATAACACAGAAGCAGAGCTCAGCGGTTAGTCTCTAAAGGTTATCTACAGTTCCTATCCCTGAAGCTACTGAGTCAGTGGGAATCAATCTCCTGTGGTCCTGGTCCCAGGCAAGGGAAAATTGCCTTAACCTCCAGGCCTCCACCTGGAAGCTGAGGTAAGTACCCTGTGTTTTAATCAGGCAGGAGCCAGACTTAGCAGGGTTAAAATTCAAACAGCGGTTTTTACCAAAGTATGGTTGCCACTATATTTCAACTACCAAGAGTTAAATTATGATTGGTTTAAACCTGATGGGGAACACCCACTCTCCAGTGTTTCCCAAAGTGTGGTACGGGAAGAGTTTGGTGGGAGTACACATTGCACCGGAGTTTGGTGGGGATATGCACTGCACCGTGCTCAGCTGCGCCTAATTCTATGTTCTCATGAGTACGAGGGGTACTCAGCGTTACGAAAATTATGGAAGGGGTACACACATGTCAAAAGTTTGGGAAACACTAAGGAAAGACATGTGACTTGGTTTTGGCCCAGGACATTTGAGGATCTGAAAACGTGCTGCGGATTCTAGAAAAGATTTTCCTCCCGGATGAAAAAAGAACGATATGTACTAGGAAAGGAGGAATCCTGCTTGCTGCCTTCTTGCTATGGATGTCTCCTTGTTGAGGACATGATGTTTGGAGCAGTGGTGGCTGTCCCATGTCTATGAAGGGAAAGCCAAGAGTATAGAGTCTATTTAACTGCCGTGGCAGTGTGAATGCACTATGGCCCTTTGGGGAAAGGCAGAGAGCTGGGTGTTTAGAGGCCCCAACGCCGGCTTAATGCTGTCCCCTGAGTACCGTGCTCTGCACACCCTGCTTCTCATCTGGAATGAAGATATTCACTTCTTTTAGAGTTAACCTACTTGTAATTTAGGTGGGAGGTGAAGGACCAGAATCCGAACAGAATCTGAAGAAAATGTATGAATCATTGCCTAGAAAGGAAGACAAAAGCCTCCAGTGGTGCCCCCAGAATTATTAGGATTTGAAATGTCAGAATGAGTCACAGCTGATCATGTTTTATAAGTGAAAAAGCAACTCCATTGTGTGTTATTATTCAAGTGGTGCATGATTACCTCACGGGGGCGGATGGGAACAGTCTATTGCCATTTAAGAGAATGGTTTCAGAATGAGAAAAGAAAGCCATTAAGTAAATCGCCATAAGCCGTGCCCAAGCCTCCTGACTCCATCCCTTTTCCATGGGTTGACTGAGAATAAGGGGCAAGACACTATCCCTTCTACACATAGAGGCATAACCACTACTGCCTACCTACAGTTAGCCAATTCAGAAATTATCACCTACACTCTCCAGTTTTATACCTTGGCCATGTTGAACTGCAGCTAGGAATGGAGTGGTTCTGTCCTAGGAGATCATAAGGAACAGAATGCTTATTATAAACTAGGCTACCTTAAACAGCCCTAAGAAATGTTATAGATGGCAACTGTAAAAAAGACAAAATAATTGTTCTCCTCTGTAAGCAAAATGGTTCCTTGACCTATGTTCTGCTGGAGTCCTCATTGGATTCAGTAGATGCACATCAGTGAATGGGAAATAACCTAATTGGCATTACATTTCTCTGCCATCTGACCACTCACATCAATCCTGAAACCTTTACCAGTTCACTGATCAGCAATCAGAGCCAGTCCAGAGGTGGATGAAGGTCTACGCTTTTCAGCGTAAGGGACTGGGACTAAGCCCTTCTTGCCTTTGCTGTTCTCATTCCTCCACTGCTCCTCAGGTGTTTCCTGGATTCTCAAGGTGTCTCCTTTCTTAAAGGCAAATCTGCATCACACTCATTAAAGTCAAAAAAGGGTTGGGTCACACCTCTTCTGGCTCTTCTGCCTGAGAATTACCCCACTTCCCTGGAAACTGGTTCTCTCAACATTGTAGTGTTCAAATAGTGCATTTTGTAGAATTCCAATAAGTAGGCAATTAATCACATACCTGATCTTCTGTTTGAAATCTAAGGGGACTCGACCCAGCTACTCCACTCCTCGGAGAGAAGCTGCCCTCACCTATCTTGACCATCTCACCACCAGTCCCTGGACCTCACTGGAGAGCTCTCTAGTCCTTTAGTTTCTTTTTTCTTATTCATCTTTTAAAACTCTCTTCTACTT